ATGTGAATGAAAACTATAAGTTGAATAAAAGTTTTCAGGAAGTGGCAGCTAAAAAATTCTCAGCCGGAATTGAGACAATGAACTTTGACAAGAACATCGAAGCTGCGCAAAAGATCAATAATTTCGTCAAAAATAAAACAAATGATAAGATAAAAGATCTCGTCAAAGGAGATTGTATAAATAATAAAACTAGTGTCATTTTGGTGAATGCCAACTATTTCAAAGGCGACTGGCTCTATAAATTTGATAAAACACTCACAGAAGTGGATGATTTTTATATTAGTGAAACAAAAACAGTGTCGGCTGCTTTTATGCATGTTACAAGTAATTTCAATTCGAAAGAATTTGATGACTTAGATGCCACTTCGCTAGAACTGAAATATACCAATTCGAAATTATCATTTGTGATCGTCTTACCGCATAAAAGAGAAGGTTTATCAAAATTGGAAGGTAAATTGAGCAATTACAATTTGACAAAGCTGGCTGGCGATTTTAGTCCCTATGATCGTGGTTACGAGGTGATATTGCCCAAATTTAAGGTTGAATTTGAGATTGAATTATACGACATATTAAAAAATGTATGTAATGAAAAACAACACATTTTTTGGAGTAAAGTAATAATAAGAAGCATTTAAAATAACTTGATTTCGTAGTTGGGAATGAAAGAGATGTTTAATGAAGAAAAAGCTAATTTGAGTGGTCTTTTGGAATCCAAGGAGCAACTTTATGTATCGGATGTACTTCATAAAGCTAACATAGAAATCAACGAAGAAGGTGCAGAAGCAGCATCTGCTACAAGTAAGACTTTTTAATATCTATTTTAAATTCAAAAAAAAAAAAACTATTTGACACTCTTATTATCTTTGAAGGCTTGCACATACTTATACCTATGAGTGCAGATAAACATCCACCGAGAATACCGAAATTTAAAGTCGATCATCCATTCTTGTATTACATATGGGACACGCAAACACAAACCCCTGTCTTTAGCGGTCGAATTACGAAACCGAATGTTGTCGATCACACTGACAAAAAATCATGCACGTTTTTTGGATTAATTTGTTGAAGATGGGCGATTGAATGTTTTGAAAAATATTGACTATGTTACGATTCATATAAAAAACATATTGCATTATCATTACATATGTGTAATAGAAATAAAAAGTCGATAAATATTGTCAAAAATCACAATAAAGTGTAAAAAATCGATGATAAGATTTTAATCATAAATCATGTGTGTTTTTCTGATTATTTCGTTCATTTATTTTAATATACATAAATATCAATCTAAAAAAGATATAGTACTAATTATTGCTTCGCGAATGACCGAAAATGTAAGTCAGGTTTTTAGGGGAGAGAAACCAATGCTAGTTTTTCTAGTTTATAGCTAATTTACTAGTTTTTAGCTAATTTACTAGTTTATTGCTAATATTCCTTTATGAAATTGCTAGTTTTCTAGCTTTTTGTTCTGTCAAATGGCAACCAATTGATTGTACTGACACAATGAAGTATTTTGACGTTTTGTTGTTCAGACATATTTTTATGTGTTTTGAATAATTATATATAATTGTGTATACACTTATAATAGTGAAAATTAGTTTGATTATTCTTTTTTAACACAAAATCGTGCATAAAGTACTTGTTTCTTTCAATAGTCGACTTGTAAAATTGATTTAGTCAGCAAATCATGGCACAATATCAAAATGGCGGATCAAAAAATTTTTGATAATTTTTCTAGTTTTTACTTGAAATATAAAAAACTAGCTAATGGTTTCCGTCCCCTAGTTCCAAACTGACAAACAAAATTCGCGTAATAGATTCATTATTAAATTAAAATTTGAATTGAATGATTTACAAACAAACACAACCAAGAAAAGTCAAAACGGAAAAAATGCCGATTGCCCCAAGTAATAGAGTAGATGTCCGAGAAATCATTAAGTGCAGTTTTATTAATAACTATCAAAAATATCTTTTTACCCTTTATAAAATTATAGTGGAAAGTTTGGTTTATCTTTATTATGAACTTCCTTCAAATTATAGCATATAACCGTTATTAGTTGTGATTCGCTTAAAGCCACAAATCTCAAGCTATGAAAGGAAGTTGCGTTTATACATTTAAATTAAAGTACTTATTTATTTGCAGACCGAATTTTGTTTGGTATTGATGTCATCAACAATTCTATTTAAATAACGATTTCGACAGAAAGAAAGTTCATTCGCGAGTTGTGTGTTAAAGTATCAAGATCAATCATCTATCAGGATGTCTATAGTACTCAATAAAGCCTTGCCGGTGGTGCAAACTCAAGGTCTAAGCAGTGGATTTGGA